TCATAGATGACCCTCAAGCTGGTTTTCAGAGGCTGTAAATTTTATGAGAGTTGACTGCCCGTCTTTCTTCCATGGAGCAGCTGGTGGAACTGCCTGCCTTTGGGTTGGCAGTGCCATCCCTTCTCCACCAGACCATGAGTTCTTATTAGTGGGGGAGCAGCAATTCAGAAAAGTTTTTACAACTTGAAGAAAGTCAACACCACTACTTGTACTTATACAAAGAGGTGATTGGTATGTATTCAGCAGTGTATGTTTTCAACAACGAAAAACAGAAAGAGATAAAAAAGTATTGTGTCATACACTAAACAGTGCCACTAGTCCTTCCCTTCTCCATTTGGAAAGGGAATATGAAGAAACAAAATGAACTGATCTTGGTCTTTACGTTCCTAAATTGTCCTGACTAAATGAGTGGGATAAAACACCACTTGGCAATCAAAAGGTATATATATTGAGCATTTCTCAAATAAACTATTTTGAAAATTTCATTGCACTTAGTAAAAACAATTTACCACAGAGTTCCAGAAATGTAATGAATCTAGCAACGGCTTAAGAAATTTTTTTTTATTTTTAAATGTGTGTGTGTGTGTGTGTGTGTGTACCGTCAAATCAGATCTGACTGGTACAGGAGGAGATTGTCCCTCCTTCCCCGGCAGAGCATCTGGTTGATTTGAACGGTGCGCCTCTGGGATTGTAGTTGCAGCTCCTTGCCACTAGGCCACCAGAGCTCCCCTGGCTTAAGAAATTTATGGAGCACTTGTGGTGTACTCTGTAAAGAACTGTGCTGCCAACTCAACAGTGGTGCCTCTCCAGCAGTTCAAATCCACCAGTGGCTCTGCAGGAGAAAGAGAGGTAATCTCCTCCCATGCGATTCACAGCCACTGAAAACCTTCTGGAGGGTCAGCTAGGAGTTGGTTCCGACTCAAAAGCAGTGAGTGAGTGAATTTATGACAATTATTTTTCAATTATTTTTATAAGCAAGTGTTATTCTCCGGCCCCCTACCCCATATACTTCTGAAAGTATAAAATGGTTTTGGTAGATATGCTATTGCTCTTCTTAGGTACCATCAGGCTAATTTTCCACTCAGAGTTCATTTAAGGGTAGAATTGTCCCACAGGATTGTCTATTCTGTAATCATCAAGAGGGAAAATCACCAGTCTTTTTCCTTCAGAGCCTCTTTGTAGTTTCTAATGGTTAATGTTTTAGTGAGGAGGTGAGCACTTAAATTTGGTGCCACCATTAAGTTGGATTCCTCGGGATAACCCTTCATAAAATCAGGCAATGGTGAAAGCAGTAATTCAAACAGAAATGAACCTTTTGCGTGTTCAATACTCTAATGGTGTTCACGGGGAAAGAAATAAATACATGCAAATATAAGAAGTGTTATGCAATACCTTGACAAGTGGGGAAAAGTGAAAATAATAAAAATATTTACTCTTCATCCAGATAACCAGCTTTCTTTTTTAAAGGCTCAGATAAGTACATTTGAATTTACACAAGAGTGCGTAGCTCAGAGAGAAACAAAGGAAAATATGCTCTGAGTAAGGCAAAACTAGTTAATGAGAGAGATTACTTCCCATCTATTTGTAGAAATGGTTAAATGTGAACATGAGGAAGGAAGGGAAGGCAAGAGGACATACTTAAAGTATCTGGTTATTAAATAAAATTGTATATTTTCATCAAATAATCTATTAAATAATTACTTGCTATGCATCAGAAAGCTGGACAATGGCTATGGATGACAGAAGAAGAATTGATGCCTTTGAATTGTGGTGCTGGAGAAGAGTCTTGAACATACCATGGACCACCAAGAAAATAAATAGGTCTGTCTTGGAGAGGGTGAAATCAGGTGTCTCCTTGGAGGTTAGGATTTTGAAGCTCCATCTCACATACTTTGGGCACGTGGCCATGAGAGACTGGTCCTTGGAGAAGGACATCATGCTTGGAATGGTGGAGGGACAGTGCAGGAGAGGAAGATCCTGGATGAGATGGATCGATATAGTAACTGGGGTAATGGGGCCTGGTGTGTCAGAATTAGTGAGACTGGCTCAGGACAGGGCAGGGTTCAGAGCTGTTGTTCATAGGGGTCACTATGGGTTGCAGGCGACTTGACTGCACATAACAACAACAACAATCATATTTAATAGATATTTTAAGACAAAACTAAAGGAAAAGATGTGTCTCTCTCCACAGAATCTTAGAGACACAACTTTTCTATGTATTTACATACTTGTTTCTAGAAAAGAATAATAATAGTAAGTGCATATAAAAATTAATATTCCTAAAATATAAAAATATAAATATTCCTAGATGTCTAACCATCTACTGAGCTCTACTGGCACAATGCATAGGGACTTGTGGTGCCCAAAAGCCACACCTCTCAGGAGGTTTGAAGCCACCAGTGGCTCCACAGGAGAAAGATAGGCAAGTTTCTCCCATGTAATTCACAATCCCCAAAAACCTGAAGGGTGAGTTATGAGTTACTTTCTACCTGATGGCAAAGTTATGGCTTGTTTTTTGGGTTTTTTTTTTACTCACCAAAATATGTAATATTCAATGAACTGTTAAAGGGTTGTATTGGAAGGGTGAGCGTTACATATTTTGGAGCAAAGGCAGCAACAGTGAGTGTGGAGTTTATCTTTCAGCATGGCTTTACTAGCCATCCAAATCTGATCTAACCATGTGGGGTGTGTTAACCTATTCACAAGGAGTTTGGCTATTTACCATTCCACAAGGGAACTGGTCACTCTCAACATTCTACAAAGGGATGGCTGCTCTCAATATTGAATTGATCAGGCCAGACTGAGAGATAGATAGATCTCCCCCTACCAGTGAAAAGGAAAGAGACCTCCTGATACCACCAGCAAAGAAAACTCACCACCAGAAAAAAGAGTGGCCATGGTCAAAATGGATATGATGTGAAATGAGAGCTGGAGGTGGGAGTGGGCTGGGGAGAGGCAATACTGGCAGGACTGAGAACTTTGCTGCACAATTGGGAATAGAGAGCCAACACTGGCAGATCTGAGAACTTTGTTGGACAATTGAGGAGGGTGCCAATATTGGCAGGATGAGAACTTGGGACCACTGGCCTGAAGGCTCGAGGCTGAGGTGCCTACATGTACATTTTGGGAGCTGGCTTGATTGTATTCTGTTATTAAGCTGGATTACAACCTCTTGGCTTTACCAATATGATTCTGTGGGGTCTGTGACTTATCACATTGGATTTTGAACCCAGCAAAGCAGTAATATTGATGCTGAGATGGGTAGAAAGAGGTATGGGAGTATGGGAGACATGTCTGATTCATGGGAACTGGCTTGCTGCTATTGATGTTGACAGGAACAGTTCCCTTTGTGAAGCTGATAAAGTCAGACATACTGCCCTCATGTGGCCTCTCTTTTTTTGTTTGTTTGTTTTGTTTATTTTTTGGCTTATCTTTTCTTTTTCTCCTTTTTCTTTTTTTTAAATTAATGTTAATGAAAGTTTACAGAGACAGGGTTTCCAGTCATTCACTGTTTCACTTTTCTCCCTACTCTACCCCCCAAATTCACTCTTCTCCTTGAAAAGCAAAAGAAAAACTCTTTCATCATTATGCATTCCCTCCCTCCCTAAGTCCACTCCATTAAGCAGCCTTCACTCTGGACTTCTATAATGACAAGAATACCCATTCATATGTCCCTTTTAAGCAGTTCTCTCCCTCATCTGTTTCAATGGAATATACATAATTCCTCCCCTCCTTTTCTGTCTTCAATCAACCCTGATGTCAGTCCCATTTTACAACAGTGGCCCTATGCAATATTTGTCCTTTTGTGACTGAGATATTTCAGTCAGCATAATGTCCTCCAGGGTTACACATTTTTCTAATATTTCATGAGTTCCTTGTTTTTCAATGCTGCATAGTATTCCATTGTGTGAATATACCAGAGCTTTTCTATCCATTTGTTTGTTGATGGGCACTTGGGTTGTTTCCAGCTCTTTGCTATTTTGAACAAAGCAGTATACATGGGTGTGCATATATCTGCTTGGGTGGCAGTTATGGTTTCTTTAGGGTAAATTCCCAGTATTGGAATTTCCGGGTCAAATAGTATTTCTATTTGGAACTTTTTGAGAAAGCACCATGTGGCCTCTTTTTACAGTGGGTTATTCTCATCCATGATAAACTTAAAACTGAGAACAGTCATCATTCTTATATCTCCCCAACTGTACTTTCGTTTCTGAGAGCATTCCCAATGTCTAATCTATTCAAAGCACATTTTCAAATTATTTAGTACAATCTGAAGACCAATCTTTTGGGAAATATTCTCTAAAATTATCACCTTTCCAAACTATTACTCAGAAAGACCACTAGTTCTAGATAAAATTTAATTTATAAGAAGTCTAAATAATAGCATCACACTTAAATTCTTTCCTCCCTTCTGAACTGGATTATTTGAATTCTTTCTTTGTTTTATTCCACCATTTAATAAGGCAACAGATAGTGTGAATGTCAAGCTGATGAAATAGCAAACACGATACACACCAGGAAGCAGATTCACATTAGTTGACTAAAAAAATTGCTAAATTTATGGAGGCTGGTTTTTCGCATGTCAATGGTGTAATGAGAATAATCACAATTGATCACTTTACTTTGTTAAGATAAAGTGCTCCATGACTATGGATGCCTACTTGTTTTGTTTGGGTTTTAATTGCAGGCTTAAAGCTGCAGCAAGTCCCACTAGGATTCAAGGAAGCAATGATCCTGGCTGTCTGTTGAGTGCATGTGTGTTCATGTGTGTACACACACACACACACACCCCCTCAACCTGATAAAAATAAGTCAGCCTTTAAGGCTTCATAGAACATAAGCTAACAAAGATTATTTTATCATGTTAAACAAATAGGAGTAACTTTCTGCAAAGAGTTGTATTTTTGGCAATTTTTTTGTCATGAGGGCTCCTGTGTGTGTGTGTGTGTGTGTGTGTGTGTGTGTGTGTAGGGGTGTTGCATGTGTCTGATGCAGCATACCTCGATTCCCTTGATTTCTTCAATGAACCTCCTGCTGACTGAGACCAGAGCCTCCTGTGGCCACTCATGAAACCAGTCAATAGCCGTGCAGTTAACTATGGCTGGGAACTTCCGAGCTCTAACTCTCAGCGTGTGACCAACCGGAGAGAAACACAAAATAATCTGTGGAGACACGGGGGCAGGGTAGAAACAGGAGGGTGATGAACGAGCAAAGAATTACATTGCAATCTTAGACAATGAGAAAAAGGAACACAGCCAACCATGACATTAAACCATCCTAAAGCATCATGGAGTGGAAATCCACATTAAACTACTTGTTAATAAAAGTATAAATCTGTCCAAAATAGCTGTTCCACAGAACACAGAGAAACACTGCTATGTGCTTTCTCTGAGTGTGTCCTTATTGTTGTAAACATAATGGGAAACTTAATTCTTATCCGTTACACAAGTAACATCACTGTAATAATAATAATAATAATTAAAAAAAAGATAAACCACCAGGATACAGCAATACCAACAGTTACTCTCATATGTCTTTCCTTCTAACTTGTAACTCATCAGGCTCAATAAAATTGCAAAAACATTTATGAAAATCAAATGTTTTGTTGGCTGGAGTGGTTGTTTTTTTTTTCTATTTAAGAGAAAAATGCAACTTTCCTTTCTTTCAACAATTCTGTTTAAGTAGTCTTACGATAAGACCCTTGTCAGTTTTTTATTAAATCTAAAGTCTTAATGTGTACAGTTTCTTTATAACTCAGAAGATTTGGTGAAGAGTGTCTGAAGTGAAAGTTGGGTTTCTCATCAGAAGATCAGCAGCTCGAATCCACCAGATACTTCACAGGAGAAAGATGAGAAATCTCCCACATGCATCATGACCTTCTGGAACACACTGGTATGTCTGCTATGAGTTGGTTCTAGTTCCAACTTGAGAGCAATGAATGTATTCTTCTCATTAAAATTTATAGCCTTAGAAACACAATGGATTTGGGATCAATTTGAAGGCCAGGAAAGATTGATCCTTGGAGAAGGACATCATGCTTGAAGGGTTGAGGGACAGCAAAGGAGAGGAAGATCCCAGATGAGATGGACTAATACAGTGACTAGAGCAATAAGGGTGGGTGTGCCATAGTCAGGGAGACTGGTTCAGGACAGGACAAGCTTCAGAGCTATTGTGCATAGGGTCACTAAGAGTCACAAGTGACTCAATGACACATAGCAACACTGATAACAGGTTTGGTTTTTCAGAGTAAGGGGAGTTAGTATCCTAGAATCTGCCATGGAAACTTAGCGAGGGGCCAGGTCTTCAGCTGTATAGAAGGACAAGATATATTTGCATTTAGTATTAAATATACTTTAGCTTCTCTGGGAGTCAAAAGTCTGTCTGATGAGATAAGGTGGGCTACTGGATTGAGGAAATGCCATCTGGTAAAAGGTCTGAGAGGAAGAGCCTTGACTTCCTTTTCTTTCTAAATAGACCTGACAAAAAAAGCTGAATTATGCAGTTTGTAATCCAGCAATTAAGAAAATAATTCTTCTCAGGGCGAGCCGTTACGGCCCTCTGCCCGGGGTGGGCTGCCCTCAGCCCTCTGCCTGGGGCGGGCTGCCCTCGGCCCTCTGCCCGGGACAGGCTGCCCTCGGCCCCTGGCTTGGGGTGAGCCGTCGTGGCCCTCAGGCTGAGCTCCTCAGTCCCCAGATTGTGACATCTGACCCCTGGGTGGGGAAGGAGAAGAAGAAAAAAAAAAGAATGCATAGGGTATCCAGGGAATGTTACCTAGGCCACCTTCTGCCACCCTCCCCCCCCCTCAGTAAACCTGAAAGCAACACCCTCAAAGCCCTTCTATTTGTAACGCACAAGTTTGTTCTCTCTAGGTTTGCTCCCTTTCCTATAGGTAACCTTAATTCTGAGTTTTACTCCAGAATTGACCCTGAACCCAGTGCCAGTGACAAAAAGGAAATACAACTGACAGCTAAGGAAGCAAAGGAGGATGGAGCCTCTGGGTTCAACCAGCCATCCCCACTGGACCCACCTGGGAAAACACTTTGCAGTCCAGAGGGGAGCAAATGACAGGAAAATATCTTCTAACAGAGCAAGAAGGCAAGCAGCTTTAACCCAAGACCACCAGTAAGGTGATAAAGCATCCTCCTTTCCCCCCTTTACATCTACACCCCTGTTCAGCATGAAGAAGCCAGAGAGTCGGCATCCAATTCCCAAATCAATAAGACAGTTGGTTTAATTACTATTGGAAAATGCTTGTCATTCCTCTGTAGCATCTGGTTCCCACTGGACTCTCATCATTTCCTTCACCTGCTCCCCCCACCGACCAGACTGTGCAGCTCTGCAACTGCATCCTGGCCGATCCTCACCCTTCTGCCCTTAACCCTCAACCCTCAACTCCTTGTACCCCCAATATGTTTTTCCCAATTAAAAAAAGTTTAATTTCAGACACACACACACACAAATAATTCTTCAAGGAATATTTTTAAACTTTAAAACACTTCCATTTTTTTTAGAATAAATTTTTTACTTTAGTCTGCTGTCTGACCTTTTCAAAGCACAGAAGAGCAACGATGTCAGTCTGGAGACTAAGGTGCATCTGATTCAGGCCATAGTGGGGTGGTGGTTTTTTTTTTTTAATTACTTGCTATGCATCAGAAATATCGACAATGACTAGGTATGATAGAAGGAGAATTGATGTCTTTGAGTTGTAGTCCTGCATAAGAGTATTTGTATAAACCATAGACTGCTAGGAGAACAAACAGGTTCATCCTAGAGAGAGTGAGACCAGGCTGTTCTTTGGAAGCAAGGTTTCTGTAGCTTTGTCTGTCATAAATTGAACATGTTGCAAGGCAGGCCCAGTCCATGGAGAGGGCCATGTTTGGGAGGGTGGAGGAACAGTGAAAGAAATTGATTCAGTGACTGGGGTAAGGGGGTAGGTCTGTCAGAGACAATAAGATTCGCACAGGATAGAGCAGGGTTAGGGCTGTTGTAAACAGGGTCACTATGAGTCACAGATGACTTGACAGCACATAACAACTACAACAACTGGTTTACTTACAAAGATCGTATACATTGTTCTTCACACAAGATCTTTCTCATTTCCTTTGCCAAGCCCTCCTTCCACCCATCACACTGTGTGACCCTATGATTAACCTCCCCCCATGTCATAAAATCCTCTACCATATATCTCACTTAACAATGCTTCATTGTGTTTAGGGAGTCTGGTGACCTAGTGAGTAAAGAGTGGTGTTGTCAACTCAAATTGGGAGTTCAAACTCACCATCTGCTCCAAGGGAAAGATAGGGCAATCCTCCCAAGTGATTTACAGCCTCTGAAAACCTTCTGGCGAGGCAGCTGTGAGCTGGTGCTCACTCAATGGCAATGACTTGAATTTCTGTTGTCACTGTGTTTTTTTATATACAATGTAGCTCCAACAAATCAAGGTAAATAACCTCTAACATCTACAATATCTTTGAGATGTATAAACAGACTGACTAGTCATCCATTATAGTATAATTCTAATTACAAATTGCATGTGCTAAGCCAACAAATCTAAGGTACAATGCATAATTTTCACTTATACCTCAGTTCTTAGGTTTCTTCTGCCAGCTTTCTTTTCTTTATATACTTGAAAATGTCTCTTTTCCATCTTAGAAGTTATCTTCCATTCTTACAAATTTAAAAAATACTATATAACATAGGAGAGGTTGGAGAGAATTATGCTGAGTGAACGGACTCAGGCTTATAAGGACAAATATTGCATAAGACCATTACTGTAAAGAAAGAGAATTAATAGTAAGATGTTTCCAAAAATCTAAAGGGGGAAGAGAAGGGAGGAGGAGGTTAGAAGGCGGACAGGGTTATCTTGAGGACATGAGTTATGTGGGCAGAATGAGAGATTAAAGAAATTGGGCAACTCAAACAAATAAACTCAAATTCACTGCCACCATGTCGATTTTGCTTATCCTCATGAAAATACTGTTCTTAACTTAATAAGCCATCATAATTTACTGAAAGATTATATAGAGAGGTAATTTAGAATTCCCCCTCTACCACATTTTACAGGTGAAGACACTTTCTATTGAACTATAAGCATGTAAATGAATATCCTATGATGTCACCTACAGTTTCACACCAGAATAAGGAAAAGATGATCACTGGTCTTTAAAACTATTGCTGTGGGAGCTTGAAATATGCAGGAATGAATTATTTAGGAAAAAAAACAAGTTAGCCAATATGTTTTGCAAATTTTCCATCAAATCAAAATGGAAAAAAATACCCCAAACACCCAAACAACAAAACACAGCTTCTTGGACTTAGTGCTAATCTAAGGAAGTAGAGAGTCTGGAGTTAGAGCCCTGTAATGCAAGTTTTCAACAAGTTCAATAGGTCAGTGGTTCAAACTGACTAGTCTCTCCACTGGAGAAAGACGGCCAGACTCCTCTTATAAAGATCTACAGCATCAAAACTACGCTGGGACATTGCACTGAGGCAGGAATGACTAGATAGTAGGGGGTTTGATTTTTTTGTTTTTGTGTTTGACAAAGAGAGGAGGCATGGTAATGGCACAGTGGATTAAGGCTGGAGATTGAAATCTACCAGCATCCCTTTCTCTAAAGGGGAAAAATGAGGCAGTCAGTTTTCACAAAGAGCACAGCTTTAGAAACCCTACAGGGCTGTTTCACTTGACAGAGTGGCAAAGAGCCAGAATTGACTCAATAGTAGTGGAATTTTTAAGAAGGAAAGGAGATACCCTACTAGTCTTGAGGAGTGTAGTTATTGACACAATTCACTGCTTACTAATTCTAGCTCAGCCAGAAATATGGCATAAAATTTCTCCTGCAACTCAGTTCTCCTTGGATACAATCTGTGTAAGATTTTTCTTCTGGTGCCCACACTAATATGTGAAAACTTTCAGTAATCAGTTTCTTTTTTACCAATAATCTTCACAACCTCAGATCATGGAATACACTCCAGTTGTGGACCAAAGCAAGCTGCTGTGGGAAAGCTATATTTTCTTATTATTAATTTTACTAAAAATTTACAGAGACTTTGGATTTCCAATCATTCATTGTTGCACTTTTCTCCCTGCCCACCCCTTCCCCCCATTAATTCTTCTCTTTGAAAAGTAAAAGAAAAATTCTTTCATTATTATACAATCCCT